TTTCCAGTCAAGATGGCAACTTCTTGGTTTCCAAGAGCCCAAAATCATCTAAGTCATCAGCTTATGGTTAGAAGGTCACTCGTGGCTATACCATGGATTATTCGCGGCAAAACCGGGAGAATTCACCAAGAAGAATGAGTATAACCAATATTAACCAATGAAAATAAGGGTTTACAGTAAGCAATATCTTAGCAAGAAACATGGAGTTTCAGCAAGAACAGATGTGAAATTCATGTTGAATATAATTTCATCAATCACCCCAGCTCATGGCAGTGGTTGGAGGGAAGGTATCTTAAGATATCCATAGCCTGGACAGATCCGATTCTTTGGTGATGCATACTCTTTCCGATCATTTCTGTTGTTTAAACTTGCGAACCCCATTGGCACCGTACATATGACGCCGGTATCTGAAATGATCGACTTTCTTCGAGTGATCCCCACCCTGAAACACAATTCTGACATAGTTTCTGACATACCATTTGGAAGTATATATGTCATATACATATACAATATACATATACATATACATATATATATACATATCTTCTGACATTCTTTCGGACATTCTTTCTGGCATCTAGTCTGACATTCTATGTGACATCTTGGTCTCGCAGGGGTTAAGCGGTTGGGTTCCGGCATGGCGCCCGCGGTTGAGGTCCGGCAGCGATTGAGGTCCGGCAGTGCCCACTGAGAACCGGAGCTCGCAGTTGAGATCCGAGGCTGCCAGAGGAGAAGGAGAAGGAGGAAGCAACTCTGATAAAATCTAGAGACCCTCACCTGGCAGGTGCGGAAAAATGAAGAAATATTGATTTATAACAACCATTCAGCATATCATATTAAACATTTATATATCTATATATATACAATATGTGTATATATATATACATGTATATCCGTTGATGTCTGTTGGTACTTGATACGCCGCTGGTCTGAAACATCTTAAGCCTCTTCGGCTATGCTCAGGATGATCATCTCCAATGACACCCAATGTCTACATGTCAATGTGTTTCACTGTGCTGGGACAGGTTGAAACCCACAAATTCGGTAAATTCAAATGATCTGAATGATTTGTCCTGCTATATTTAATACAATATACATATATATCTAGACACATCATACAATAGCGCGATAAACCCAATAAGAACATATCCCTAAAAATGCCATAAATGGTGTGGAACGCACCATCCAAAATCGGAGGTTTTTGGCATTAGGTTTACCATGGTACAAGGGGTCCAAACAATCCACGACTCATCCGTTTCCGCAGGCATCCTCTTGCCCAACGAGATGGTGTGACACGGCCAGATGTGGAAAAACCACCATTTTGGGATGATTTCTTTAGGGAAACCACGGGGTTCCACATCTGTTTGTATGTTTACCCTAGGGTACCACTCTAGACTTCCAAACACCTTCCACGAAGGTATTTGCATCTCAATGATCTTTTGATCAAAATCAAAGTGTGAAAAACTGAGACATCTCCGGCCCCAGGGCCCCAAGTTGCTTTGTAAACCCCTGGAACACCCAAACAAATGTTTTTGGATCTTTGGCTTGGAACTTGAAGCGTTTCCAGTTGTCATCAACCAGGTACATGCCAACCACAAATGTTGGTCACTTTTCTTAGCGAATCACCTCATCACCTCATCTTGGGTAAGACCTCATAGAGTCAGCCTCGGTTCAAACCTGTGCCTGCAATCTTAGCATCGCAAACATTATTGACCCTTAACCTGGCGAAGTCTTCATGATGTTTCACTACGTAGCCACCAAAAAGAAAATGTTTGGGAGTAAGCGCTGCTAAGTCGTTTTGTTGGAGACCATTTGGAATGCCCTGTTTTTTAGCGATTTTTCGATACGTTCTTCCAGAAACGATCCAAAAACACATCTGGTGATCCATCCTCAGAGACATGTTTTGTTTTTTGATCTTTGGATATCCCACAAAATAGCTACATAAAATCAACATGTCAAATTTCAATCCCACATTTTTAGTATATTAACATGAAACCCACTAGCCTCTCGTTATTTTTTAGTATAATATAGCTATGGAATCCATAAAACACGTTCAATAGATAAATATGGTTAAATCATCTATAAATAAGCAAATTCAAGTTTCCACCAATATATGTTAGATTACCAGAGGCTATATTAAACCATAATGTGCTAAATAATCCCATTCACCGTAGTTGCTACCCATGATCCGCGCAGCTGCCATGAAAAAAAAACAACCCAGGCCACTGTCTCTGCGCTGGTTGAAGTGGCTCTGTCCTTTGTACTACGGAATGACGATGATGGCCCTGTCCGTGGCTCGCTTTGGATTTGTTTTTCTTGGCTATTGCTTGCCCTTTCTGATCTTCACTACGATGAATCTCGTGTTTCCAGGTTGAATCATGTTGAGTCAGGTTGAATCATTTTGAATCGTAAATTTCCAGGCTAAGTCATGTTGAATCCAAATTTTACAGGTAAGATCTACAGATTCAACATCACTCTACTTGGTGGTTCACCCCAACCG